TGTTGAATATCTTTATGATTGAACCATTTTTGATCCCGGTATTGCTTGCAGTCGTATCAAAAAAAAGACCTCCTACTTTTGATTCAAGTTTATACTCTTTTAGTAGGTTCATAATAGTTGTATATTGATCATCACCAGAAGAGGAAGTTAAAGAAGGAACACCTAGTAGGTACATTTTACCCTCAATGTTCACAAGAACTGCCAGCCTGTCATTCTTGAACTTTTTTCCTGCATTAATTTCATAAAGAATTTTTCCATCAAACTGTATAACACATGGATAAGGAGAAGCTTTTATTGCATTTTTTCCATTCTCTTTTGCTAAGGCTGACATATTGTCATTTGCTAATTTCATTTTTCTAAAGGCTGTTGATTTACTGCAATGTATATCTGTAAGTTCAACACCAGTTTCAGTTAAAATGGTTTTTTAACTGAAACTGGTGTTGAAATTTCACTTTTTGCAAAACATTTTGATGAAACATTACTTAAATTAGCCATTAGGGCAACATTTCTGGTATACACATCTTTTGGAATTTCTGCAGTTACAGTACAGTTAGATTGAAAAGGTTCTTTTTGATAATAGCTCAAAATCAGAATCATAAGATGAATCAGAAATCAAATCAGAATTGAGTTCAATTTCATATTTAGATTTTATTGATCGCACATCCTTTGTTCTATTTTTCTTTTTGTTACTCTCTTCTGTCGACAAGCATAAAATAATATTAATTATAAAAAATGTTTTATAAAAAAAATATCACTTAAAACTTTTAATTTATAAGTTTTACCTTTCTACTAGAGTCTCATCCTCTATCCCAAGAATAAACTTTCTTTCTCCTTCCTGATCTTCCAAAAACATCTAGTTTTTGAGATTATTTTTGGCAGATCTTTTTTTGTCGGTTCTAATAATGTTTTTCAAATCTGGCTTGCCTACCCAAAAACCCTTTTTTAAGTAATTCTCGAAGTTTTTTTGATTTTTTAAATCTTTAGGAAAGCCTCTTTATTCGTTTTTTTTTTTAAAGTAGAACACTGCTTGTCAAGTTTAATAAGATTTTTGAATAGTGAATTGTCATTAACAACTTCAAACCATGCTTTTATCCAGGGTTTCTTCACCTTAGCTAAAATACAGTTACAATCTAAATTTTCACATCTTTCAAAATTTTTACGAAGCGAGCACGTAACCAAACTGATTTTTTTGGTGGTTTTAGACAGTATAGATTGCAGGTATGTTAGATGTTGTAGAATATCCATGCCTGTAGGAAGTTGAATATCTAAATACATAATTTTTTTTGTTTACTATATTTTATTGAAATAATTTAGATCACTCACTATCTTGAATATATAATATACATTAAGTTGTTCAAGTTTCTAACAAACTAGAAATTACCTGTAACTTCTGGTTTAGCTGCTTAATAATAAGCTATTTATTTTGTTTTTTAGATCTTAACTTAAATTTGTTTTCAAACTCGCACCTTTCATTTCCTTTATACATATTTATGGCCAAGAATATATTTGTAAATATTATAAAAGCTGGAAAAAAACTTAATATATTGTTTAAACATTTACTGTATTTTAATTTCACTTGTTAAATGACATTTACAACACATTTTATCTTAATTTGTGTTTCATACTGTTACTCATAAAGTTACAAATTTTGTAGTTATAAGTTAAGAACATATTCTTGTGTTTGGTTTGTTTGGTATTTTTAATGGTTTTAAACATACATAAAATAAGTAATTATATTCTTATTTTAGATATATACATTTGCAAACTGTATTATGTTTCTAAATAACAAAATTTGAACTTAATTATTAAAAAGGTTATAAAAACAACGCCGCGTCACGTAATAAACGTAATAATCAATCAATCAATTATATATTCTGGAAAAAAAGATCTAACTTCCACGGTCGTTACAAATAGTTATAAAAACTAATTTAAAGTAAAAACCTCTTTGATGATATAAAACATATTATAGACACATAGTTATAGAGATAATAAAAATAGCAATAAATTAACAAAACAACAATAATAAAAATAATTAATTGTATAATAATAAGAATAACAATAATAATATCACCAGTAAGTATAATTAACACCCAATAATAATGATTAAAATAAAAACATGATAATAATAAATACAATACATATATAACGGAATTGTTAAATAAATATTTAATAGAAGGCTGTTCATTAATTACGTCAGCAAAAATTATAAAAACCAGTAACTAAAAGAATTCAATCAATACAATCTTCCATACAACAATCAATTATATATACATAGTTACAATTACAAACAGTAATAAACTGATAAAACGTAACTAATAACGATGACATAAAAACGATTATTGATTATTATAATAATATAATTAATATATATATATATATATATATATATATATATATATATATATATATATATATATACATATATATATATATATACATACATATATATATATATATATATATATATATATATATATATATATATATATATATATATATATATATATATATATATATATATATATATATATATATATATATATATATATATATATATATATATATATATATATATATATATATATATATATATATATATATGGGTTGGACAAAAAGTATAAAATTTTAGCTGCACATATCAAACAGACCATAAAAGATGCTCTTTTATTTCCTGAAAAAGTTGGTACAAAAATTTTTGACTAAAAAATATTCTTAGGGATCCCAACTGATCCTTGAATTTGATCAGGAGCGATTTTACAGGGCGTGTTACCCCCTGTAAAATCCCCCCTACAAAAAAGGTGATTTTCAAGTTAGTCGGTTTTTTCACGAATTTAGTCGGCTAGGTGGGTTTCTGAAACAATTCAGTCGGTTAAATTTTTGTTTTGAGGACCTTTTTTTTTTGGTACATTTTGAGGATACACACCCCCCCTCATTTTTTTGTAGCATCGCCTCTGAATTTTTTGTGGTTGTTGTTTTTGTTGTTATTTAATGTTATTTATTGAATTTGATGGGTCTATAATATTATCATACAAAATAGCTACACCCCTAGATTTGTTCTACATAATAAAGTATCTCTGGATTTGAAAAATTAAAAAAATAAAATATTTTTAGAGTTCCCAACTGACCATTGAATATTTAATGGGTCTCTAATATTGAAATTTCAAATCCAGTGTAACTTTATCATATAGAACAAATCTAGGGGTGTAGCAGGAGAGTGTAGCAAAAAAAGTAGTTTTTACCCTACTCTCTCTCTCTCTGGAATAAATATTAAAAAACATAAGATTTTACTGTCGTTTACATCTGTTTCTACCTTATTTTAAATTTCAAATATAAGATACTTTAATCTTCTATTTATTGGAACTTATTCTAATAAAACTAAAATGAAAAAATTTTTAAATTTTGCAAAGATGGTCTCATAAAACTAATATTAACTACTGATAAAATAAAAAATAATTTTTGTTTTAAAGATCCGCTTCCTATGCTGCTTAAATCTCATGTTGTTCACAAAGTTTTTTGCGCAGGCAAAAAACTTTGTGAACAACATGAGATTTAAGTTTCTTTAATAAAATTGAGCACTCTGTAGAATAATTATTGGCGCAACAATTAAAGAAAAAAAAGTAAACTGATAACAATTTTGACACAACAGCTTCAAATACTGTATTACAAAGAGTAGTTTACAGTGGGATAGAGGCCAAGCTTGGTGAAAACTTTTTTATGCCTGTCATGTAGACACAAATATCATGATATTTTCATGATGTTATCATGATATTTTCATGATGTTGAGACACAAAAACTTGTATGTCTGCCAGCCGCTACAATCATGATCATCAGTTTTTAAAATTAGCAAATAAGTGAAATATTATTAAGAGCTTAAAAAATGCTACAATTAAGATATTTATTAGTCATTTGTAATATCTAAGCAGAGAGATAGTTGTCATGGCATTTTTTTGATGATGCTATCAACATTTTTTTGATGATGTTAACAACACCAAAAAAAAAGATAATCAATCCATTAAAAAAGCAAAACTTTGCTAAAGCACTGAATCAAAAACGAACAAATATAAAACTAAGTTCTGCACTGTAAAAAAACATGATATCTTTGAGTCTAGGATTCTTTTAAAAATTCGAGCTAAATACTGATCTTCAACAAAAAGCCTTGACAAGTGGCATAGCCTGTAAAAATTTTTCTTTCATTCAACTTGATCTTAGCATGAATGTACTTAAATTTGGTTCAAAAAAGACGTTTTTTTAAACTCTGCTTAAATGTTCAAAAAATGTTTTTTGCTGACCAAATGCCGATCGGTATGTTACAGAGATGTGAAGTTGTGCTGAAGTTTTTTACATTATAAGTGATTTTGCACATTTGATTTTAAAAAATGAATTAAAAACTGCCACTATTAAATGTAGAAAAATTAAAAAGTAGTTTAAGAATGTTTTCAGTTTAATTTCTCTCAATAAAATAGATTTACAAAACGTGAAATTAGTAGTTGTATTTTTTTGTTTAGTTTTAAAATTATGTTAAAAAAATCAATTGCAACATTTTGTAAAAAATTCTCACTTTATAATTGAAAGTAGAGTTTTGTTTAATTAAAAAAAGTAAATGGAAGTAAATCTGTTTTGACAACTACTTGTTTTAAAAATGCAGTTATGTTAAGAATTTATCCGTGCATATAATTAATTTAATTAAACTACCCAGAAGGCATATATCACCGTAAAAATATCCCTGGGAAAACACATGTCCACTGGGCATTTTTTTTAAAAGTCTAAAATTTCTATGATGGCTGTAATTGTAAAAAGTATTATTTTAATATTTAAAGAATATTGCAAGGTTAATATTGGAAAGTGAATGAACGTGAATTACAAGCAGCTCAAACAAGAACTATACAATAAAAATTATTTAATAATACAACAATTGATTTAAACAAAAAAAATAATAGCAAATTAAACTTTTTTTTAACATTCTTTAAACAAAAGAAATTTCAAATTAAATGTAAACTAACTGGAAAATTAATAAAAGTGGTTATGTTGGTAGCAGCATTTTTTGTCAATCTTGATTTTTCATTTACTCCTATTTTCACCCACAATGAAAATGTAAAACCGCCACTTGTGCATTTAGTTAAATCACTACAAAAAAATTAAATAAAGAATCATCATCATCATCATCATCATCATCATTATCATCATCATCATCATCATCATCATCATCATCATCATCATCATTATCATCATCATCATTATCATCGTCACCATTATCTTCATCATCATCGTGATCTTTAATCATAAAAAAACAAATCTAAACTAAAAGAAATAATAAAAGTTAAATTAAAAGTTTACCTTACACAATCAGAATCAGGCAACGGATAATTAGTACTTGTTAAACAATTAGGAACACCATTACAAAATAAAACTGATCCTCTTCTCTCTGGCATTAACATTATTTTTGCATTATTAAGGTTTAAAACCAGTGATCCTTCAACACCAGAGTTATACATATTAGGATTTTCTTCAAATAAATAACTCCAAGATGGTGAAAATGGATAATATGGAATGCTTGCAAATGCTATGATTATTTAAAAACCATATAACTATAACTGTTTTGTAAGAATATAATAGCAATTTTATAAAAAACTACATATATATATATATATATATATATTTGTTTATATATATATATATATATATATATATATATATATATATATATATATATATATATATATATATATATATATATATATATATATATATATATATATACATATATACATATATATATATATATATATATATATATATATATATATATATATATATATATATATATATATATATATATATATATATATATATATATATATATATATATATATAAGGTTGGGATGTATTAAAGTACAATACTTTGTTACTTTATGCAATACTCAGCATGTTACAGTATGTAATATGCAGTTACTTTCAGAAAAAATGTACAAAAATACTTTAACTTCATTGGATCGAATAAATAATCCACACAATTTCTCGACACTGACCCCGGAATCGTTTGACGTTAGATTCATCAAAACGCAAGGCTGCATATAGAATACGCAACAATTTAATCATGCAATGAATTATAAAAAAAAAAAAAAAATGTTTGGAATTCCCAGCATATATATATATATATATATATATTATATATATATATATATATATATATATATATTAGGGCTGTCCAAAAAAAATTTTTTTTCAGATTTAATTGCATAGTTGTTTATTTTGTGCCATTTGACATATTAATTAACTGTGCAAAAAATCTTTCCGATCAGATAATGTTTAGGGGGTGCTCAATGACCATAAAGTTTTACGAAAAATGTGAAAAACATGGAAAAAGTAACAAAGTTCCACAAATTTCTAAAACCCGGTTAATTAGATTTTTCAGATTTGATCAGTTTTAATTATCTCTAAATATTAAATTCTGAATACAAATTACAATCCACATCCACTTTATACTGGTTTATTAGCAGAGAAATTAATGAAATAAAATACTGCAATACGACTAAAGTTCTGCGGTTTTTGTTATATCAGAATTTTTCCAAAATAAAACACTAAGATTTTTGACTCTTTGTCATTGATTAAAATACGAATTATAAACAAAAAAAATTATTGTAAAGGAGTAACAGTTTCTCAAACCGTTATCAACTACTAAGTAGGTCAACTCAAAAACATATGAGCAATTAACATTTAATTATCGTAATGTTATGTAATCGTTATGTTGTCCAGTTCCAGCTGATAGTTTTGCTTTTCCAAGTATTTTGTCAACATTGTGACCTGTCACACCTACAGATAGCCGGTCAACATTTGCTTTAGGGTCTGCAGAATTTGTACGATCTATCATCAGTTTGCCATCCCAGTGGACGATTAATGGTAGTTTGTCCAAATCGCAGAATTCAGTTTGAACAGTGGCTTCAATGTTTGATCGATGATAGGTTCGTTTTCTACGGACTGTAGAACGTGAACTGTCCACCAGCCCTTGCAATTGCTGCTGCTAGTATAGTAAATTTTGTGTCAGATAGATTAATTCTGTCTAATGTTGATGAAACATCAGGCGAGTCAAGAATTGTATCTAAGATACATTGTCATTTTGGAGTACTTGCTAAACTTGATTCAGCTGACCCTGAAGAACTTGCTTTACTGACTTGTTGTCTGTAATAAACAGGGATTTCTATCTCAAAATCTCTATCAACCATTTTGTCATTATCAACAGCATCGTTATCGTTGTCATCACTATAACTTTCGTCATGTAAAGGTTCAATAACAGGAACTATTGCACTCGCACCAGATTGTCTTTGCTCTTCTTTTAGCTTTCGTTCTCTCTCTGCTTGTTTCCTTGCTTCATTTCTTGCTTCTAATTTTGAAAGTTCTTTGTCCTCTCCAAACATCACCATTTTTCTCTGACATCTCTGATCCAATAAAAATTCTTTATCTTCTTCAATTCTGATCATGGTTTCAGCATCCTTGTGGGCAATGTCAAAAAGTAGGCCAATGGTGTCTGTAAATGATTTCTCTCTTGATTTCTGAGAATCTGACAATCTGGATTTTTTTTTTTTTATTAATTTAAATTCCTGGACTAAAGTTTTCAACTTTAAGACTACATTCGGATGAAATGCTGTCAGAATATGGGCTTTATTCCAAATAATAATCAGTTCATCAACAGTTGTTTTAAGACTTTCAGGCACTGACTTTTTGGTTGAATTAAGATGATAAAAAAATGTTTTTAAAACATCAGATGTTAAGGGAAGAACTTTATCTGGAAGATTTGGCTCTGGTTGTCCAATTAAAAAGATTTCGGTTTGAAGTCGTGTAGAGATAGCAACACGAGATGATGCTGCCATTTCAATGATAACTGAAAAATTATGAGAAAATCAAAACTCAATACCATATTATACAAACTTATCATTCAGTTGTTGGTTTATGCAGCTGCAGCAATATATAATAATAATTATTACTAAAGAAATTAAATAAATATTTTCAAATTAGAAATTATTATTATCTGCACTTAATAACAAACAATACACTACCAGACTACCATGCTAGTTTTCTGTAATAGGTTACTAAGGTTAGGTACTATCAAAATATTAATACATTTGTTGTCAAACTGAAATTCCAAATAAAAATAATATTTATACTTGTAAACCTTTTAATTCTGTTTGAACAAATTCTAAATTGAGTTAAATAATAGTATTAAAATTATGAATACAAATTTTAACAAAATGATATAAACACAGTTGTTTTAAACACTAGCAGACATTTTTTAGTCTGGTGCCCTGATGACAGTTAATCTGCTGCACTTTAATTAATCTATATAGCACGCAATCAGATAATATTTCAGTGGAAAAAATCTAACTAACCAGGTTCTAGAAATTTTTGGAACTTTGGAACTTTTTCCACGTTTTTGACGTTTTTCGTAAAACTTTATGGTCATTGAGCACCCCCTAAACATTATCTGATTGGAAAGATTTTTTACACAGTCAATTACTATGTCAAATGGCACAAAATAAACAACTATGCATTCAAATCCGAGAAAATTTTTTTTTTCCTGTGTTCACATGAACAGCCCTAATATATATATATATATATATATATATATATATATATATATATATATATATATATATATATATATATATATATATATATTATATATATATATATATATATATATATATATATATATATATGTATATATATATATATTTACGCAGATCTAAATGGTGCCCATAGTTTAAAATCAAATTAATTTATTAGAAAACTTATTTAAAGTAAAATCAAGTAAAATTTTATTCTTATTTTAAGACCTTTTAGAACTTTTCGAACTAATTAAGGAAATATTTTGAATATATGTTCCCAGGAAAAAAAGTTCTATAGAATTTTATATAAACATTTGAAACATATGGCCTATAGAAATTCTATAGAATTCTATAGAATTTCTATAGAGTTTCTGTTAACTTCTATAAAAGTTCCTATTGAAATTTTTTATTCTACTTTTTTTTTATAGAAAAAAAAGTTTTGTAGCAATTTCTATAGAAATCAATAGACATTCTATAGAAATTCTATAGAGTTTCTATAGGCCATTTGTTTCAAAAGTTTATAGAAAACTCTAAGAATTTTTTTTCCTGGGTGATTATAAAAAATTTTAAGACTTGCCTATCATTTTTTCGTCTAAGTGGTTGTTGATAAACTACATCATGCTAAATTTAAATTTTAAAACTTTGTGCTAATCATCGCTATATTATTTCAAAAATCTAAGCACAAGAGAGACAATAAAACTCAAATAAACTCTGCGTGACGTACTTTATGGATGAATCTTATCGGCTTATGGCCATAGAGATAAAATCTAACGGCAGCCAAGTTAGCTTTGATTTTTTTGCTTAAAAAAAAAAAAAGAATAGGCCTAGATGTTAGATATATGTTAGATTTTATCATTATTTATTGGTGTTTAACTAGTTATTAACACAATTTACAACAGATTTATGTTCTTGATAATGTGTATGAAAATGAATTATTTATTAAACATTCAAATAACCTATAAAAGTGATTTAGTTTTTTAATAAGAAATTATGGTATGTACTAAAATGTAATATTGGTAAAAAAAATAAATTATTATAGTTATACTATTTCTTTTTTGTTATTAATATTACATTTTAATATATTATACTTATTATTATATTTCAATGTATTTTACTATTTTTCTAAGGTCTAATGAAGAAAATTTTAAGTGGCAGTAAGCATACTTTAAAAGTTCTAAAATTACTGACATCAATTGAGTTATTTGAAAACATAAATTTTTACACAAAGTATGATTATTTTTAGAGTTATTTTAATCCACATATATCTGAATATTCTCAGCTTTCTAATTTGTTTTTTATCGATGTTTCGTTTAAATGCTCTGACAGTTTTTTAACAGTTAACGATACTATAATTTCTGAACTTCTTTTAAAAAAAGCGTGTTTAAATTGCTTTGATAAAACATTTTCATGTTTTATATGCCTAATAGCATTATCTAATGCTCATCCAAAAATTAAATTGTCCAATAAATATTTTGTGGTGCAACTTAGATAAATCAAAAAACAAAAGTGTTTTATATTTTAAGCCAAAGCATTTTGTGGCACTGGTTAAAGATCTTCCCAAAAATGACCAGCTGTTGTTATGAGTGATACAAGTTTACTTAGTATCAAAAAAATAAAAGTTTCAAAGTCAAGTTTTCCACCTAAAGATAACAAAATACAAACACCAACATAGTCTAAATTATTACTTCCTACTTTTTCACACTTCAGATATAGATAAGTCTGGTATTTGTAATAAAACTAAAGAAGTTATTTCAAAAGACGCCAACAACAGTGATAAAAACACTCTTGAATCTAATGTTCCACTAAAGGAAAACAACGTTGTTGACATTAGTTTGTTAAATACAAATCAGTTAGCATTTTATTCAAACTATGTTTTTTCATCATACCACCAACATGGTAAAAAATTAAAAAGGAACAAATGATAATGAACTGTTATCTCTTTTTAAAAATGTCTGGGTTT